CGTTATAGCAATCGAAACCCTACTCTAATACGAATATTAGTGTTTTATGTTTGATAAAACCTAACTTATGAGCATTTCATACACTGCATATACGAACAATAATAAACCTAATCGAAAATCAACAATCTAGGATCTAACTCTTGTTTATTTACGATATAGGTAGTTTTTGGGACTATCAGTAATGCTTGAATATGAGCTTAGGTAATCGAGAACTGGCAGTCAATTGTATCCTAATGAGATCAGTAGGCTTTACATTGCCATTGAATTTCACTTTACCTTAATCAGCCTCAGCCTCTTCCTTTTCATGCATCAAGTTCCCTCATCTACAAACGTGTAAGTTAAGCATGAATCAACTAACTCACGAGCTGCAGCATTAGGATCGCAACTTTGACTATAAGAAATGAATATGATTTCAGCCGACTAGCTTTCTAGAATTAGCGTATTGGTGGCTATTTTGTAAAATATCTTCTCTCGCCCCGACGATGTCTATCACTTGACAGACGCAAGTTCAGCCCGGATTCATTAGTATAGTAGACCGGTGGTCCAAAGGTATTTTTGCGCTTCTTTCAATAGGAGTTATCGCTTTCTAGTGAGGTTAATTTACGAATCCCATCCAAATAACTCTTCCTTTGAAATTAAAATTCGAATTATATTATATTATAATCATTATTTTTTAAATATTTACTAAGAGCATAATGCTAAACTCCTGCTCTTTTCACACCAAAAGCTAAACAAGTATGACCAGAATACCTCAAATATCGTCCTTTGTACGGTGCCATCATGGCAGATCGAATAAAGCTTTTGCTATTTTCAACAAAGAATATCACTCCAATAATAGCACCTAGAGGAAATGCAGATACTGTATCCGTTACTCATAAAACATATGGCCTCAAAGTGTCCTTGACTAGAAAATGTCACTTTCCTTCTAACTGGAAGGCGATAGACTAGTTTCATGTGGAGGTAACTTGTTGGTGTATAGAGTTATCTCTTGTATTTAAATCCCTTAAGAGGCGGTTGGGTGACCTAATAAAAAATAAAACTGCGGATCGCCTTAGATCATTTATATGTTTGGGCTTAATTAAAGATGGCTTAGCTCTTAGGACATTGCTGATTTTGCCTGAGTGGCTTACCTTAGGTTAATTTTACAAATAATTGTTTATTTTTACTTGACGCTTGGCTATAATTCTCCCATCAACTGCGATCTTGTCCTATCCTCTATTTGCATAAAAGGTGAAGTCTCTTGACTTTCAAACCTTAATCTTTTATCTTCGCCTCACTCAAAGACATCTTTATTTGCTTATTTCAACATAGGTGGAGCCTTAGCCAGCAGTCTGGCCATCATGACGGATGCAGCTCATCTATTGACTGACTTCGCCAGCTTCATGATAAGTCTGCTCGCCATCTTCTTGGCCGCCAGGCCTGCCACCAAGCGGATGAGCTTTGGCTGGCATAGAGCAGGTCAGAAAGCAATATGCAATCTCTTGATTCACTGACTCAAGGAATCAGGAAACATGACATACTCGTAAACTAGGTGCAACTGAGCTGATCAGCCCCATTCTCTAAGGCCATTCTGCACTGATGCATTAGTGACCAATATGCTTACTTTTAAAATTATAGAAGCCTAACGAGTGCGAATAAATATAATAACTCCTAAATTCCTATTTTTATGAATTATTATGGGAAAATTTCACTATTATATTAATTTGCAACAGAAAGAATATTTTTAATGGTATTTAAAAAAATGATATGCCACTATAAGTTAGGAATTTTTTGCCTACGTCTTGGTCATGTCGTCAGTGCTAACTTAAAGTTCATAACATGTTCAGCGTCCTCTGTAATAGTTAGCTTGATAAGTTTCAGCGTCTAACAGTGGACTTGATTTATTACCAGACGTCTTTACTCGAGGGGTTCTATTCCATGATCTTCTTTCCTAGCAGCATATATACAGTAGCCTTGCTTATCCTGTCTCCAGTTCCCTGATCTTAGAACCTAGTTATATAACTTTACTATTATTAACAAAGTTGATACTGTTTCACTTTATATAAGTACAGCATGTTCAATAGATTGATGAAGTTTTGTATGTAGGTAGAGTTTCAAGACTACCATTAAATCAATCATATGAGATGTATCCATCATATTTCGTTTAATGTGATGAAGGATTGGTACTCGAATTTTCCTACAAAGATATGAGTAGAGTTGACGTTTCCATTGAATTTCAAAGAGCATTGCTTTCCCACAAGTTATTCTCATCCAGGATGGTCTGCAATTTCTACCTCGCCCAGGTCCTATCAACATCCTCTGCGGGAGTCGAATCATAAAAGTACAGTGTGTAATCTAGACAATTTAAGCACTAAGCCAAATTGGTACGAGCGCCCTTGGGTCATTAGGGCAAATGTGAATCTCAAAGAAGGCCAGGCCTTTTGCCATATTACATTCTTTGGTGGGACCTCCGATGAAGCAAACGTATTTTTGCAATAACAATCGTCTAGACTAATTAATTAGTGGAGTTTCAAGACTACCATTAAATCAATTATATTCTATGGTTAACGTGTAATATTTACATATTGTACTGTCACGATTCGACTCCAGCTGCAGTCCACCCTGGATGAGAACAACTTTTGGGGAAGCAAGGCTATGTGAAATCCAATGGAAACATCAGCTCAACTATTATCATTGTGGTAAAACTCTACTACCAGTCCTCCATCCCCTTAAATAAAATAGGGTAAAAACATCTCATATAACAGCTTGGTGTTCCTTGGGTCGGGAATGTTTTTTAAGGATCATCTTTAAAAAACAGTGTCAGGCACTTGGTCTGCGCTTAATCCCTATTGTGTATCTAGAGTCAAAAAGGTTCTGCTCTCCTATCCATAATAAAAAATTCATTGAGGGTTGTGATTACTCTTACTCCTATGCGCTTTAGCGCCAAGGCCCCGAATATTATAATCATTTCCTAGGTTTAAGTACACTCTGCAATTGTCTTCTCTTGAATTCCGATTATGTTTGAATCACTATTCCTTGTGATACCTATTCGTCTAGGTTAAGGTAGGTTTTCGATCTAGACCTTTCATTATTGCTGATTTTGCTGATTACTGCTTTACTCCAAATTCTCTTCAACGGTAAGACATATTTTCGCTATTTCTGCGTACTTTTAATCTGAGTTACACTCGATTTTTTCCGTAATCATATTGAAAGCCTTCCTTAAATTTATTCCCCTTATTTTGAACTTATGACGCCCTTCTTTCTGTTGCCATCTAGTTATTCTCGTGTCATTTATTTCCAACGATTTAATTTTTTATGATATCGGCCTAAGCACGTTTCTGAATTCTTTTATGCTACTTTATTGGTATAGTGATTTTTATACTTATTGTGAATGTATGTCGATGATATATAACGTAATTCCAGAATATCATGTTTATTCATCTTCGTATTTCGTGTGCAGGCCTGTGATCACCTAAATAGTCCATTTTCATTAAATTGGTCTTAGTTATCGGGTCAGTTCGCAGGGGGGTAAGAATAATCACTTTCGTAAGATTTTATTCATCCTTATTTTCTTTGTCATAACTCCTATCTTGCCATCTGCTTTTCACATCACGTATATTTTATTGTGTCATTTATATCGGAAATCAGCTGCCTAGAAATTACTAACTTAATTTTCGCATTTATCTCTATTCTATGACCATTGGTCTTTGGCCTCTGGTAAGCATACATTTCATTAATCTTATCGGCAATCTATAGGAGGGCTTGAACTATAAATTGAGAATTATTCCTGTTTAATCGAAGATATGAGGACCAGGATAGTGTGGCCTTTTGTATGGTCGTGGTCTCTTTCGTTGTATAAAAGTTGTTTAACAATATTATCGCAACTTGGTCATGTTGTCAGGAACGCGCCTTGTTCGGACTCCATTGTATACACGATAAGTTCCAGAGTCGAATCGTGGACTTGATACATTCCCAGATATTTGGTCAGCATCGTATTCGGCATCGTCAGTGAGTCTTGTCATACTCGTCAAAGAGACAAGTCGATCCTTTGACCAATTGGCTAATAAACAGTTGTGGTTTCTCTCCTCTCCTGGGCTATTCTCCTAATTAAAATATTCATATCACCCTTTCAATATCACAATTTATTACTTTCTTATCTAAACCCATTTAAAATCTCTTCAAGCTGCCGAGATTGTTGATCCAATGCTGCATTTCAATCCGCAATCCTCTCCCTTCGGGTTCTATCAGAGTTCTCCCCTTGCTAATTAAGATCCTTTCATTATCAACCTGGTTCAGTAATTTCACTACATCGCTGTCGACTTATCCGTGCTACTCCAAGCGTTATGTTCTACATTCTTCCTGAAGCCTTTGGTAGCACGTATACACCAGCCTCACTAAGCAATCCCCTAAAATCTGTATTCTCAATCGGTACAGCAACCTGCAGATACCTTTATCATTAACGGCATGTGCACCGAATAAATCATGTGGTCAAGTCTTTACGTCATGGAGCACGTCTATGAACAAATATATGTATTAATAGCTAACTTAAAATAGTCACCACCGCTTTCCTCGCTCTTTTCTCCATACTTCCAAGTACAAAGTCTATGACTTTCTCTTAAGTGCCGACCCCTAAATGTGATGGCTCGACTTGATTTGAATAGGCCAACTGGAGACGTCTAAACTTGGTTTTCGATTCTTCCTCTCTGGTCTCCTTGTAATTTATTTTCCTAAAAGTAAAAATATTGACTTTGTCTAATCTTATTTTTGTTGATATTGCAGATCCTTGTTCTTCTTTGAGTTTGCTCAGACAGTATGTAAAGTTTTCGCTAATCCTGCCTTCTTGAAGCCTCCTGTTCACTTACTTTTTCAGTCAGGATATCGATGGTCTTTAGTATCTTGCGTTTTATTCAATTTACACCATATGCAGCCTGCCTTTCTGTCGATTTCGACCTGATTTCATGTCCCGTTCGTGCAATGTTTTCCGCTATTTCAGATTTTTTATTGTCCATATTTTTGTAAAGCCTTTGACATTCCTTGATTCATAGACTGATTTTTCTTCCACTTTCAGCAATATACTTCTGCTCACAGTTGCCGAATTTGATGATATAGACTCCTGCACAATCCAGTTTGTCAACCCTCTCATGTTGCGTCAGCAGGCTATTAAAGAGTATTGTCTTTACTAGTGCTATAACCTTGATATTCCATTTTCTTAGCAACCGTTGCAATTTCCGACTCAGTTCACAGGACGGCAGGCATATCCACTTTTGGTCGTCGTCCCGATTTTATCTTATTTTCATTAAATCCTAGGTGAATTCTGCTTTTTATGAACCTCATATTTCTTTTATAAATTCTCTGAGGTACCCGTTACTAAGGCAAATCCGAGTCAGTTTCTCCAACTCCTCGTTCCAGGACTCAATCATAAGCTTCTGATGATCATACTCCTCATTATTACGGTCTTCAGTCAGTAGTTGATATGAGACTGGAAATTGAGGATTATTTCCGCATGCGATTTCTTTCTTAATAGTCTCCTCTTGAGTATTCTGCTGGAACGGCTGACTTCAACATTTAGGAAGAGTTGTCATTTATTTTCCGCCATCTCCATTGTGAATTTAATTCTTTCATCAAGTTGGCTTGCAAAATTGAGGAGCTTATCCAAATTTTCCTTACCATGTGACCAGAGTGCAAAGTAGTCGTCCAGGTATCGCGTAAGCACTCTTGGTTGCGGAGGAGATTTCTCGAATTCCTTCTCCAATCTGTTCATGTATACATTTGCTAAAGGAAGTGAGATTAGGGATCCCATTAGTATTCCAAATATATGCTTAAATATATTGCTGTTGAATGTAAAATATGTGGTGCTTACTGTCTGGTTGATTAGTCGTATTAATGACTCCCGTATCCTCTGCTTCCAGGATATCCTCTTCTCATTCCAGGACCTCCAAAAGGGCATTGTCTCTCTTCTCGCCTGAGATGGTTCTGTACATGGATTGTACGTCAAAACTTACTAACATTTCTGTTTCTGCCA